ATACTAGGGCCCCTTAAACACAGTTGAATAAAATCCCACATTATCTTCTTTGAACTGGAATATAGGGCAACGTGGATTCAGATATCCCAGTTCAAAGCAGATATTGTGGGATTTTCTGCCTTGATATTCTCGGTTATATGGTTGTGTGGAAGGGCCCTTCGACAATAATAGTATTTTGTCAAAGTCTTTCATGACCGGAATCACAGGGTTGATGTAGGTTTTTTCGGGCTGTATGGCCATGTTCTAGAGGCATTCTCTCCTGACGTTTCGCCTGCATCTATGGCAAGCATCCTCACAACCTCTGAGGACCTCACAACCTCCGAGGATGCTTGCCATAGATGCAGGTGAAACGTCAGGAGAAAATGCCTCTAGAACATGGCCATACAGCCCGAAAAAACCTACAACAACCCAGTATCTTGTCTTCCTGGTCTGTCTTCCTGAGTCTGAAGAGACTCAGAAGAGGAGTGGGCAGATCGAAAGACAATCTGGCAAAATGGCACTACTAAAAGAATCCCACACCTTATGTGACTGTGGAGCAGAACAGACAACTCCGCATCTGTATGCTTGTCCATTATGCCCTGCCTCATGTACAGAGGAATAATTGTTGGAGGCTACAGACAATACCATTGCTGTTGCCCGTTTTTGGTCAAAAGATATTTAGCCACCTGTACTCCTTCTATTTTTATCGGTTTTATACTAATTTATGCAATGCTTTTGAAAGGAAATAAAATTCATGGTTTACCCTTCCAGACCTGATCCCAGGTTTTCTGTTTATCCCAGATTATATGGCAGTGCGCATTCAACTAATCTAATTTTAAAGCAGAAAACTTTGGGATTAGATCCTGAGATGTAGGGCCTGTCTGGAAGGACCCTTAAGGACCTGCTAAACTGCCACATAATCCAGAATATCAAGGCATATAACCCACATTATCTACTTTGAACTGGATTATATAACTCTACCTTGCCATATAATCCACTTCAAATCAGATAATCTGGATTGTATATGGCACTGTATAAGGTGCCCTTCTACACTGCTCTGCATCCCAAAATCTGATCCCAGATTATCTCCTTATCCCAGATTGTCTGGCAAAATAATCCTATAATCCGGTTCAAAGTAAATAATCTGGGATCCGATCCTGGAATATAGGGGAGTGTAGAAGGGGCCTTAGATGAGTCCCAGATACCTTTCTAAACCCTTTTGCTAAACTAGAATTTTCAGGAGTATTTTCTTTTGATTAAAGGTACTTTTCCCAATTTCCTTGAAGACGAAACACATAAAACTCGGTGGAATTTAATGTGAAGAACGACTATAGACAATATTGTTACATTGTTTTCAGATCTGTCCTGCTCCCAGTTTCCTCCCAAATCATATTGAAAATGGAAAGTTTAAACAAAGGCCTCTCTGGATTGTTGTAGGTTTTTCGGGCTATATGGCCATGTTCTAGAAGGCCCGAAAAACCTACAACAACCCAGTGATTCCAGCCATGAAAGCCTTTGACAATACAAAGGCCTCTCTCATTATGGCGCCACAACATAGGCACAATCATGATAGCAATATAATTCTGGTCAACACACATTTTGATGCCTCAAATGTTAGCCCTGTTTCTGGGTATATTTGACTTGCTGCTTCCAAAAAATGACACATTTCTTCCCCATAAGTGGTATTTTTGCAATACAGAATATATGTCATATACCAGTTGCCATCTGGTATATGAACCATAGAAAATCATGACAACCATATCTAAGAAATCAGAGCTAATGCTGTCTATCAAATGCAGTTTTCTGAAGCAGCACCCCAAATTACTCCAGGAACAGGCTTAAAAACCAAGATATCCACACAGTCCTATATCCCAGAATATCAAGGCAGAAAATCCCACATTATCTGGGTGTGGACTCAAATAACCCAGTTCAAAGCAGATATTGTGGGATTTTCTGCCTTGATATTCTGGGGCATAGGGCTCCAAGACATTTTGTTGGGTTGGGCTGTGCAATATTTGACCAGGCCTTGGGGCAGTTGTTCCCTGCCCAGCATCACAGAATATATATTTACCTCCTCCCTCCCCAACAATCCACCTACAAAACACAAAATGAAGGGAAGAATAGTCTTTAAGAATTTACATTCTCAGTTACATCAATTGCAGAGGAAAGTGCGTCCAAAATTATATACACAAAAGCACAACATTGAAGTACAATAATGGGCAGCATCCACTGTGATGTATGAAAGGGGCCTGTCCACCTTTATTCCACAGTCAAAGCCTCTAATTTGAAATGGATTTATCATTCCAGGCCTACATTAACATTCCATACATTGCATACAGACAAAGCAAGTTAAGACTTCCACCCTCAAAGTTCGGCTCAGTGTTGTTTTATTGTCATAGTGAATGGGGAGGAAAGTGAGGGCCCTTCCACACAGCCCTATATCCCATAATATCAAGGCAGAAAATCCCACATTATCTAAGTGTGGACTCAGATAACCCAGTTCAAAGCAGATAATGTGGGATTTTCTGCCTTGGTATTCTGGGATATAGGGCTGTGTGGAAGGGCCCCAAGAAATCTCAATCCTGTGAATGTTTGCTTAGAATTAAGACCCACTAAAATGAGTGGTATTTATTTACACTGAGTTCAGACTTAACCCTTTCCTTCTAAAACTAGAAAACCTCTCCCATCTTTCAGGTTCTTTGAAGGCACTTATCATGAGTTTTTTGGTAGGATGAAGATTTATTTGAATGCCATCGATTGCCATAAGAGGGATTTTAAAAATACCTTCAGTCCTCATATATATGCATGCAATTGTAAACCGTACCTTATAGATCAGATATGGGCAAACTTGGGCCTTCCTTCACGTGTTTTGGACTTCAACTCCCACCATTCCTAATAGCCTCAGGCCCTTAAGTGGCTAAGGGGGAAAAGGAAGGGCCCGAGGCTGTTAGGAATGATGGGAGTTGAAGTCCAAAACACCTGGAAGGCCCAAGTTTGCCCATGCCCGTTATAGATAATTCAGATATTATGATACAGATTATTATCTCTCCTATGTACAAGTCCCCTAATAGATAGGCTATGCTTTGTGGCTGAATAATAATAGTAACTGGGTTGCTGTGAGTTTTCCGGGCTGTATGGCCATGTTCCAGAAGCATTTTTTTATTTTACTATGTTATTTTATATATTTTGTTATGATGTATTTTTGCTGTTTTGTGTCTAATTATGTTGTATTATTTTTGGGCTTGGCTTCATGTTAAATAAAGTTTATTATTATTATTATTAGCCGCCCCCTGCCATGCGTTGCTGTGGCCCAGCCTGTGAAGCTGTGTTTTGTGTGTGTATATATTTGTGTACATGTGTATATATGTGTGTGTGTGTTTGAGTATATATGTGGTTTTGCACATGCGTTGTAATGTGGGGTTTTTTTTTTGGCTTTTTAAGTCTTTTCTACTGTGTTTTTCAGTATTTTATGAGTGATGGTCACTTATTGGCCTGATAGGGGTGTAATGCCTAAATTCGGTGTCAATTCATACAGTGGTTTTTGAGCTATGTTAATCTAACAAAAAACATTACATTTTTATTTATATAGACTAGCCACCCCCTGCCACGCGTTGCTGTGGGCCAGTCTAGTGGAAAATAAAGTAATTAGAAAGTGTTGGTTCAGCATGCTCTTTGTACGTGAATTATAAATCCCAGTAACTACAACTCTCAAATGTCAAGGTCCATTTCCCCCAAACTCCATCTGTGTTCATATTTGGGCATATGGAATATTTGTGCCAAGTTTGGTCCAGATCCATCATTGTTTGAGTCCACAGTGCTCTCTGGATGTAGGTGAACTACAACTCCCAAACTCAAGGTCAATGCCCGCCAAACCCTTCTAGTGTTTTCTGTTGGTCATGGGAGTTCTCTGTGCCACGTTTGGTTCAATTCCATCATTGGTGGAGGTCAAAATGCTCTTTGATTGTAGGTTAACTATAAATCCCAGTAACTACAACTCCCAAATGACAAAATCATTTTTTTTAGTGATGGTCACTCGTTGGCCTAGTAGGTGTATTGTGTCCAAATTTGGTGTCAATTCGTCCAGTGGTTTTTGAGTAATGTTAATCCCACAAACGAACATTACATTTTTATTTATATAGACTATTATTATTATTATTATTATTATTATTATTATTATTATTATTTCCTCCAGACATTTTACCCACATCTATGTTAGGCATCCTCAGAAGTTGTGAAGTCTGTTGAGAACTATGTTGGAGCATGCAAGGAATCAAGGCCTAGCAGTTTCAAGGTCTGGCTTCTTACTGCCTGGGGATTCCTTTGTTGAAACGTCAGGAGAGAATGCTTCTGGAACATAGCCATACAGCCCAGAAAATTCACAGCAACCCAGTGATCCCGGCCATGAAAGCCTTCAGCCCTTTCCACACAGCTGAATAAAATCCCACATTTTCTGCTTTGAACTGGAATATATGGCAGTGTGGACTCAGATAACCCAGTTCAAAGCAGATATTGTGGGATTTTCTGCCTTTATACCCTGGGTTATATGGCTGTGTGGAAGGGCCCTTCGACAATAATAGTATCTTCTCTTCCTGGATAAACAAATAAAAAAGAGCAATCAATTTCTCACAGAGATTACAAAAGGTTGTAGGATTCTTCCCATCCGACTAAGAGACAAAGGGAACCGAAAGCAAACTAGGCCTTGGTGGTTATTGACAATTTATTGGAAACTCGGTTGAATTGCTTGTGTCTGTTTGTATTTCCTGGATTTTCTTTCCTCAAAGCAATTCAGAGTTCCTGAACTTGGTACAAAGAAAGAGAAGACCATAATGCGCAGAGCCCTAAGGCAGCGAGACGAAGGAAACAAAAAAAAGGTGGACAGAACAACAAAAGACACGGACAGATAGACAGACAAATAAAAACCCAAAGAGGGGGGGAAAAATCTCAATTGCACGCGGTTTCCTTCTTCCCCAAACCCCCTCCCTCCCTCCCCAACATGGACAAAGAGTGCCTGGTTTTGCAAATCGAAGGAAGGAGCACCCAATAACAACATAAAATAACAATAATTATGTTTAAAAAATAATGATAAGCAGGGGAATTTGAATTGTACATATAGAATTGGACTGGGTGGAGATGGGGAGGTCGCCCCCCTCCCCAAAGGCCACTCTTTTGTCTTAGTTCGGATCTCCCAAACCGACTTCGCCTCCTCTTGCCCGCATTGGGCCATAGGGAGGAGGCAGCTCTTCTCCAGCTCTTCCTCTCTTTGTCTCTCTTTCCCGGCCTCTCTTCTTCAGGGAGTCTCGCTGGTGCTGTTGGCGCTGGTGCTGTTGGCGTTGGCGCTGGCGCTCTTCACCTTGGCCACCACTTTCTTCTCCTTCACCCGCCGGTTCTGGAACCAGATGGTGATCTGTCTCTCGCTGAGGTTGGTGGCGGCCGAGATCTTCCTCCGCTTGTCCTTGGTGATGAACTTGCTGCTGGAGTATTCCTTCTCCAGCTCCTTCAGCTGCCCTTTGCTGTACGGGATGCGCTTCTTGCGCCCTCGGCGGAAGGTGCAGGCCTCGGCCGGGTGCTGCCCGACAGCCTCTGCCCGAAAGAGAGAAAGAGAGAGAGGATGAAGCCGGGAGACCAGCCGCCATCGCCCACCTCCACGTCCCCTATTGTCTCCCTCGGGTGCAAAAGGGACAAGGGAAATCAGGCGATTCTCCACCCACTCCTTGGCTTTCAAAGGAGCCCAAACTAACCCTCGACCCAGGCTACCACCATCATGAATTCTCCTTTTTCTCAGCCTTCTCTTTTGCAAACTCTCCAGATGGCTCTGCCTCTTCGATTTGGCTCGCTCTGTGTATTTTTAAACCTCCCCTTGCCTCAATCGCTACCCTTCTCTGGGCCCCTCCGTTTAACACTCTTTCACACTCACTCTCTCACACACACACGCAGAGCCCCCAAAGCCCTTCCACACAGCCCTATATTACAGAATATCAAAGCAGAAAAACCCACAATATTTGCTTTGAACTGGGATATTTGAGTCCAGGTTTTAACTAGTTTGTAAATTTTCAGTTCTACATGCTTTACCCATCTACTCATGATTTTTTTTAATTGCAGCATTTTAATTCCTTTTCTCTGTTCAGCTGTTAAAATGCTGATCCTTCCACACAGCCCTATATCCCAGAATATTAAGGCAGAAAATCCCACAATATCTGTTTTGTACTGGGATGTCTGAGTCCACACTCAGGCCCCTTCCACACAGCCCTATATCCCAGAATATCAAGGCAGAAAACCCCACAATATCTGCTTCGAACTGGGTTATTTGAGTCCACACTCAGGCCCCTTCCACACAGCCCTATATCCCAGAATATTAAGGCAGAAAATCCCACAATATCTGTTTTGTACTGGGTTATTTGAGTCAACACTCAGGCCCCTTCCACACAGCCCTATACCCCAGAATATCAAGGCAGAAAATCCCACAATATCTGCTTTGAACTGGGATATCTGAGTCCACACACAGGGCCCTTCCACACAGCCCTATATCTCAGAATATTAGGGCAGAAAATCCCACAATATCTGATTTGAACTGGGTTATCTGAGTACACACTCCGATCATGTGGTATTTCCTGCCTTGATATTCTAGGATATAGGGCTGCGTGGAAGGGCCTCCAGTTTTCCTTCCCTCGCTGTTGCATTATTTTCTACCTCTTTATATTCAAGACTCTTACAGACCGGGTTGTTATGAATTTTCCGGGCTGTATGGCAATGTTCCAGAAGCTTTCTCTCCTGACGTTTCACCCACACCTAATGGCAGGCATCCCCAGAGGTTGTGGGGTCTGTTGGAAACTAGGAAAATGGGATTTATATATCTATGGAAAGTCCAGGGTGGGAGAAGGAACTCTTGTCTGTTGGAGGTAGGTGTGAATGTTTCAGTTGGCCACTTTGATTAGCATTTAATGTCCCAGCAGGTACAAGGTCTGTCTTCTTACTGCCTAGGGGAATCCTTTGTTGGGAGGTGATTGGCTGGCCCTGATTGCTTCTTTTCTGGAATTCTCCTGGTTTTTTTTAGTGTTGTAGACCCATTTTCCCCATTTCTGGGCCCCTTCCTTGAACTCCCTTTCATCTTCCTACTTTTCCTGCTCTCAGTTTCACTATTTTAATAACGCTGCAATATATATTTGTCCTACCCACTAATTTTTCCCTTCATTTTTATGAATCTACTAGCCGTCCCCTGCCAGGTGTTACTGTGGCCCTGTTTGTGTATATGCATTCCATGTGTGTATATGTGTGTGTATATGTTTGTGTATATGTGTATATATGTGTGTTTGTGTATATATGTGGTTTTGCGCATGTGGTGTAATGCATTTTTGTGGCTCTTCTGCTGTGTTTTTCAGTGTTTTTAGGAGTGATGAATACTCGTTGGCTTGATAGGTGTATTGTGTCCAAATTTGGTGTCAATTCGTCCAGTGTTTTTTGAGTTATGTTAATCCCACAAACAAACATGAGATTTTTATTTATATAATTTTTTTATTTATATAGATGCATCATTTCCCCCCATTTCTGGGTCCCTCCGTTAAGTATCCTTTCTCTCACACACACAATGTTTGTGTATTTTTTCCTAGCCCCTAATTTTTCCGCTTTACTTTCAAGACCCCACAGACATGTTTTCAATCCCTCCGCCCCTTCCCTTCCCTACATTTTTCTCTTCTCTCGTCCTCTCCCTCCTCCACTCCTTCCTCCCCACTGTTCTCCTTCTCATCCCCCCTTTTCTGGGCCCAGTCCTTTCTGTACAAATCAGTATTTCCTCCATTTCGGGCCTCTTTTGTCCACGAAACCTCACCGAAATCGACTGTGGGCGAAAGTAGGGCTGGACAGGTCAGATTAATTGCGTCGGTTAGACACAGAAGGAGAGAAACTTGAGATTTCTATCTAACTGATCTGGTTGGGAAACAATCCTTTTCACAATTAATCGTGGAAATGGCTTTGGAAGGGGGACGTAATTTCAAAACCTTTCCCCCACCTTGTTCCCCAGTCAGGAAACACAAAGATGTGTCCGTTTATGTTTAAGAAAGATGGGTAGGATACTTTAGTTTCGACTGAATTGTCCATTTTAGGCACTTTTACTATTGGAAATAATGATTTCCATAGCATTCATTTCCAAATAAATGCTATTGTCAGTCCCGGCAGAGCAAAACCGTCCAATCCATTAGATTTCGCCACATGTTGACTTACCCTTCAACAACTGGCTCAATGGGTCTACTCTACTTGAAACTAACGGATGGGATTCCAATGTTTGGAAGAGAAGGAGGGTATAGTATTGAGAAATTGGACCACGTCATATATATATATATATTATATATATATATACACACACACACACACACACACACACATATATATATGTGTGTGTGTGTGTGTGTGTGTGTGTGTGTATATATGAGCAACCATCTTTTTTTTCATCCTTTAGAGGAGAGGGGGCAGGTTATAAATAAATAAATAAATTTATTATTAGTAGTAGTATTAGTATTATTATTATTCGCAAGCCCTTTTAATGCTTAATATGTATTAATTTTAATTTAATTTTAATGTTGTTGGAATTGTATGTGTTTTAAGGCATTTAATAACTGCCTATATGTAAGCTGCCTTGTGTCCCCTTCAGAGTAGAGAAAGGTGGGGTAAAAATAGGATAAATAGATAAATAAATGTATTAGACACATGTTTTTAAATTTATTTATTTATTATTATTATTATTATTGTAAATATGTTTTTATAGGTTATTGTTTTCCATATTGGTTTGTATGGTCTTTTATATAATGTTGCAAGCAGCTTTGGGGCCCGTTTAGTAAGAAAAGCGGGACATAAATAAAGAATTATTATTATTATTATTATTATTATTATTATTATTATTATTATTATTATTATTAAAGCCACCGCCCTCCACATTTATACAAATGGTATTACAAAATATCCTTTCTCAAAGAGAAACCATACTAAAAATGAGAAAAAAAGAGGATGTAGGAATAAAGAAATCGACCTAGTATCTCTGCAATTTCTAGGAACCTGATTCATATTCCTAAATGTAACATGGCTACTTGGTGTTGTAAAATACTGAAAATGCTAAATCCTAGGGCTGGATTAAAGTCTTGCAGTGTAAATATGAATAAATAGTATACACACACACACACAAATATTTCTTCCAGTTTGTCAATATTGAAAAATAAAATGGCTTGAAATGAAATGCAAATGAAGGAAAAACAAAACATGACTATGATTTGCTTGCTTTTCATTCCCAATTATGTGTTACTGCATTTTTCACTGGATTATATGAGTCCACACTACCAGATAATCTGGGATAAACAAAAAACCTGGGATCAGATCCTGAAATATAAGGCCTGTGTTTACATGTGAGCTTTCTGTATGTCTGTGCATGTGTGTTCATGTGCAAAATATTTTAATCCTGGTGATTTCTATTGTATTTGAGATGTGGATAGATGAAGTAGTCTTTCAGCTCCTTCCCTTCCCACAACCCTTACTGCCATTATTTTTGCTTACATAACAAATTAATATTGATTTGAAAGTTCATTTAGTCCAAGAATCGAGTTGCATTTTTGATACTGCAGGAATGAGGCAGAAGACTGCATGGTCATTATTTTCAATCCTCAAAAGAAAGCAACAGAAAGCATAGTATATTTTAGGAAATAAAGTCTAAATTCAGGTGCTAGTTTCAATTAGAGGAAATCTGTTGGTGAATGGCAAATAAATATGTATAAATCTCCCCGATTCAATGCATCCCTTCTAGTTTTTGTTATCATTATACTTGAAATTTTCTCCCAAATCCAGGCTTACAATTTTTAAAAACTCAACACAGTTTAAAAATACAAAAGAGGAACATTAAAATAGAATTAGAGCTGAGAAATTGGATATGATTTTAAAAAATAAAACAAAAGAACTACTAATCTGTTCTGGCCAAATGTTTTTTTTAGAGCCAATTATATTTTTATTTAATTGAAAGTGATGCAATGACTGCTCCAGGAAGTAGCAAACTAGACTCAGTCTTAGGGTGCATCTACATTGTAGATTTATGCAGTTTGACACCTCTTTTATTGCCTTTGCTCAGTGCTATGGAATTATGGGAGTTGTCATTTTACAAGGTCTGCAAAAGAGTGCTGGTGCTACACCAAATTAAAAACCCCAATAGCAGTTAAAGTGGTATCAAACTGCATTAATTCTATAGTGTAGATGCACTTTATTTGAATAGGCCCAGTCAAATCAGTGGAGATTAAGGTAACTATGGGCAACATAACTGCCATTCATTTTAATGGGCCTACTCTTAGGGTCCTTCCATACAGCCATAAAACCCAGAATATCAAGGCAGGAAATCCTGCATTATATGCTTCGAACTAGAATATATGGTAGTGTGGACTCTGATAACCCAGTTCAAAGCAGATATTGTGGGATTTCCTGCCTTGATATTCTGGGTTATATAGTTGTGGACAGACAGACAGACCCTATATCCCAAGATCTGATCCCAGGTTTTCTGTTTATCCCAGATTATCTGGCAGTGCAGACTCATATAATCCAGTTTAAAGTGAAAAATG